TGCTCATTACACGACCAAACCATCCAGCTCAGAGAACAAAACTCCATCAAAAACAATGAATTCTTCTTTCTATAAACTGGACTGAAGATGCGATGACTCTCAAAGATTTTCATGCTTGTAATCATTAATAGAATAAATAATTGGATTTACGAAGATAGTGAGGATAAGTTTTTTTCAGTATGGGGTTGTGCAGATCGGCGAATTTCATTTAAATTACGAGCCGGTCAAAGTGAAAAAAAACCTGAGAGCTCTGAACAGCTGTTTCACTCTAATATTGGGTTCCTTCACGACCATGAAACCAAAAACCCAGTCCATGACCATGGGTTTATTGAGAGAAAGTTTAACTTCTAGACCATTGAGCCAGTATCTAGTGGTGTACATGTCTAACTCCAACCAACTCACGAAATTGAGCGACCATTTTTTATTGACATGGTTAGGTATCTTCTTCGAATTCTAATTCCATTCCTGTTAGAAGGGATGTGGATGTTTATTGTCCAGTACTATTTCAAGCCCACATGGATTAGCTTCCGGACATATCGATTCTTTTATTCTTCTTGAGTCACACTTTAACGCTGTCAGTTACTCCGATAATATTCGTGACTGGTTTTATATGGGCGCACGTGTTTGTGTCACTTACCCTATTGACCACATATATTCTGCTTACATTTATCTGGCTATAAATATTGAGTCACGCTTTCTCAAATGAATTCAGCACACTCGCCTTCTCCGCTATGCTTTTCTTTCCCGCTTCTCATTTCTAATTCTTGTCTAAATAGGTGAATGCCCAAAATAAACGTATCCAACTCAACTCGTATTAGGCTTCTTATTACCACCGTAGCACAAACGGCGTTATTCTTTTGTATCTTGTATTATTGTTTGGTGCTATTGAACAAATAGATAGGGAAATTCTACCAAGTATACTGATCATTTTTAGTTCGTAAAATAAACAATTAACTGTTTTTACCATCCTATCAGTCATGATCTAATGAGTTTTATCTGATAAGAAATTCGTGGTCACAAATCAAATTAATTTTAATGAAATGGTTTCAATACTTGTAATTTTGTAGCTTTCTTTATTATCACAACATGGTAAATAAAACAAGAATCCTGTAGTTTATATCACTGATTGATAGCAGCACAATCATTTAGTTATTGTAAGAAGCTGTGTTAAGTGGATTGTAAGACAATGGAACTGAAACATGGTTGTTCATCACAATAACTCAATTGAACTAAGACATGTAAACCACTAGATCGTGGATCATAGCTGAAGTTCCTGGTTCCATCGTAAAATCACATACTAATACGAAAGAGCTTTTCAGTGCTTAAGAAATTTTCAGCGGTTGTCTACATGAAGTCAGTTTATCATGTAAGCTATAAAATGCAAGGAATTCCACGAACTTCTTTATTAAAAACATGAATCAGTTTACACTATATCATCAAGAAACATTCGAGCAAATAGGTGTTTCGTTTAAAACGGACAACTAATATAAATTTATGAGTTTTAAGCTAATGATAAATTAGCACAGTATCTCATTACAGTCCATTGTTTATGGATGCTCAAATTCCACACTTTGTCATCAAGTTAACCAACCAGAATTATATCTGGAATGATCTATCTGAGGAGTTAAAGTATGGAACAAACGATGGTGATCTTTGAAATCTTTGCAAACTACTCAACCTATTCAAAATCGTTGAAGATCTAGTGACAATTCTGCACCAAAGTAGCTTAAGCTCGAACTTATGTTTACTGAAATTCATAAACAGAGATTTTCGTAACCTTTAAGAAATCCGTACCAACGAATAGGTACCGTAATATTACTCCAATATTACACCAATAAAATCACGTAACCTACATTTTTTCTGAGCATAAACATTTTACAAATTGAATATTTATACCTTTACTGTATTTTCCTTGGATTATGTCTTGGGAAAAACAGTGTCTAGTGACGTCATCCTTCAGCTCGTTTCAACTACCAAAACAGATTTTTGTTGGTTTATTTCTTGAAATAATTGGCATTTTAACATCACATACCCAGTTAGGCATGCCGCGTAAGGTTCTGAATTACTGATCTAAATGGATCAACGAACCATGTTCAGGTAGCTTACATATTTTCTTCAAACATCTCGAAACGATAGTTGATGAATGAACGTTTGGTCACTTATAACATTTTCTAGTTTAATTCTATTGAAACCAGTACCATGAATCAAATCTGATAAATCCTTGACTGTCGTAATACCCACTCTAGTTATTTCAGCTGAAGCGAATTCCCCGTCTCACTTCATAATGTATTCTACTTATCTAAACTAGACATAATTCACTCAATGGTCCCATCACTCACAAACAATGATCTTGTACTTATAACCTCAGCATGTCTTTTATTCTGGATGGTTACATCTCACGGCAAAGATTAGAAGATGGTTTACTTCATATAAAATTTTATCCAAGATGTGGATTCCAGAGGAAAGGGAAATGGATCTAGGCGGCCTGCTTGAGCATCTGGGCTACCTGTTCCTGCCATCTAGATATTTCAACAAGTTATCTATCTTTGTTTGTTTTAATATATCATTATGTCTATTAATCGCACAACCTATACTGCTGCGTTTCTGAAAAATGTACAACCTTTCGTTATTAAAGTTACAAAAAGCTCAAAAAGAGAGAATATGGTTGCTGGCAATGTACAACGAAAAGAATGTACATCATTCCCATGTTCATTTACTGGACTGATAACATCTAGCTGGCGACAACTCAGTATTTATCGCGAGGACCGACCAAGAAGAAAGAAACGGAAACTTGTTGAAATACTTTGTGCTGAGAATTCTATATTGTACCAATAATATAATATTGAATAAAGCTATTAATAATAATAATAATTCATATAAAATTTTATCCAAGATGTGGATTCCAGAGGAAAGGGAAATGGATCTAAGTCTATTTTTATGTGTGTAGCTTTATAATTACCATGTACATTAATAGATCTAAGTGTTGAGGAAGTAAAGTACCAAAACGTCTATACATTACTTACTTACTTACGCCTGTTACTTCCAATGGAGCATAGGTCGCCGACCAGCATTCTCCAACACACTCTGTCATGGGCCTTCTTTTCGAGTTCCATCCATTTCTTGTTCAGTTTTCTCATGTCTATCTCCATTCCCCGGAGTAATGTGTTCTGTATTCCTCCTCTTCTCCTCCTCCTTTGACCTTGGGAATTCCATGTGAGGGCTTGTCTTGTGACGCAGTTGGGTGATTTCCTCAATGTGTGTCCTATTCACTTCTAGCGCTTCTTCCTGATTTCTTCCTCCGCTGGGATCTGGTTTGTTCTCTCCCACAGTAAGTTGTTGCTGATAGTGTCCGGCCAACGGATCCGAAGTATTTTGCGTAGACGACTGTTAATAAACACCTGTATATTCTGGATGGTGGCTTTCGTAGTTCTCCAGGTTTTCGCGCCATACAGTCGAACTGTTTTCACATTTGTATTGAAAATTTTAGTTTTGGTGTTGGTTGACAGTTGCTTTGATTTCCAGATGTTCCCCAGTTGTAAATATACTGCTCTTGCTTTTCCGATCCGCGCCTTCACATCTGCATCAGATCCACCGTGTTCATTAGGGCGAATCAATTATCCTATGGTTCTACGTTACCATAAGCAATCTACCTAATGTTGATTTATAATGAAAATCATCTTCGGAAATCTTCCAAGTATTTTACAATGAAGGAGACTTTGTAAACTAACAAAGATCCACAGAACTAATGAATTCAAAATAATTATTTGTGTATAATCGTTTGCAGATATCTTCCTTATGCAAAGAGCTTACTTCATTGTTAGAAAGTAGTATATTACTTTTAAATTTAAATTTCAGACATACTTAATTTGACACAGTAGCTGGTATAATGATATAGAGTCGTTAGGCTAATCAAATTTAACTGACTATGTTGCATTGTGGCGACTGGTCTAGTCTGTTAGACAGTAATGTGAACTATCTACTAATGGTAAGCAGATGAATATAGGTAACACTACATCAGGATTTTGTGCTACATGTCACCCGTTGTCCTGTAATATTTAAAGAATTTATTCATCCATAAGATTCCAAATACTCTTATTAACTCAGTAGTTAGTTTTGTAAGCTTGAAGAAGTTAATCTTTATTTTGGTTAGATCATTCAAAACTATATAGCACCTGCTGGTATATAGAAGATTAATGATGGATTTCAAGGTGTACCAGTAAGAATTCAAGAAAAAATATTAGAAGTGAATAAGAAATACATTGAGGAAATCACTAAACTGCATCACCAAGTAATTCCTAACTTGGAATCCTGAAATGGAAACAGAAAAGTGGTAGAGCAAAGAAAACATTACGTCGAAAAACAGGAACAGATATGAAAAGGATGAATAACAACTGGAAAAAATGGAAATCATTACCTAAGATAGTTTTGGTTGGAGAATGTTGGTCAACAGCCTATGCTCCTTGACGAGAGGTAATAGTCATAAGTAAATAAGTTAGAAAGTAAGTAAGTAAGTAAGTAAGTGACCAGTTAAATACTCGTTGGTACATTCGATTTTAATCTTTCCTTATCTTTTTTTCAAAATAGAAAACTATTGATTTTAATAAGAATTAATCAAATTTATGATTTTAATTTTATTTCCACATAACAACTACAAAAATATTGTTGTAACGCGTGTGGGACTGCAGGTTCTGATAAGCAGCGTATTTATCGATCGGAGTACAGTGGACACGGAAAACACGTACGAACGACCTAGTGCCCTGATTGGTCCCGCTCCGCTGTCTGTCCCAGCCAGTTGAGTGAAGAACGCAAGTCACAGCCTGAGTTATGAATCGTTGTATTTCAGACATACTTTGTTTATATACCAATCAAGCACACCACATCGTACCATAAAATAGGAAACAACATTTACAAAATATTTAACAAGTGAAATAAACATCGACCAATAAGAAATGTACATTTAAGGTCCAAGGACACCATAGACTTAACACGATAATTATTGGTATATTTTTCCGACTATCCTAACAAATATCTACATGGTAACTCATTTTAAAATCAATACTCAATCATGATAGTTTTTTTTGTGTAACGTTTATCTATCACATAGTAACTATATTTAAACTATTGATTCCATCTATCATTTGTTTAAAATCACTATTGAATTGTTTCTCCATATTTTGAATTAGATCAATTACATTTCTTGAATCTATTCAATATTGAGTTAAACAAACAAACAAACAAAATTAAATTTACCAATTTCAAATTGAAGTAGATCATGTAAATCATTGAGAGTAATTGAACCAACTTTTTCAGCGGGAATTTCACTATTTAAATTTAAAACTGGAAAATTATCCTAAAAAAAAAGAAAAAAATAATTATTTTTTTCAATGAAATTTATTCTTTTTATTTTATTTTATTTTTTTAATTTTTTTTTGACTTATCACTAACTATATTATAAGATTGTAGAAATTCATGTAGATCTTTTGGAAACCAGATTTGATTCATTTGGATTTGATGAAATTTTTTATAGAAATCAATGAAAAACTTTGTTTCTTCGTTTTCTTTTTCCCCTTCTTCTTGTTCCTCTTCTTCTTCTTCTTCGTCATTTTCATCGATATTCGTATTTTGTTTCTGTCTTTTGGTAATTGGTAATTTGTTCAATTCATATATCAAATGTTTCCTAAACATAATTGAGAAGAGATAATTGTTCATTTGTTATTGCTGCAGTTTTGACTTTTAATATAAATTCATAGAAAATTCTTAACAGTGTAAGGTTATGGAGATTGATCTCAATCAAAAACTTAATAATCTCCACAACTCTATACTGATAATTACCATGTGCTCACTAGTGACTGGATTCGTGAAGGAATTCTCAGAGTTCTAGTAAGAAGCTGTGACCAGTGAAGATCATCCGTGTCGAGTAGAAACAGGCATCTACCTCAATGCAATGGTGGATGTGTCGCTCAATTTCGTGGATTAGTTGAAGTTAAACATCAGCATCGTTGAATGACAGCCAGCTCAATCGTCTAGTGGTTAAGTGTTCAAGCACGAAACCGACAGGTCCACGATTCGAAACTCGCGAAACGGGATTGTGGTTGCGCATTGCTGAGGAGTCTCATAGTAAGACGAAACGGCCATTCAATGCTTCTAGGTTTTCCGTGGTGGTCTAGCTTCAATCAACTCATGATCTCAACTATTACAATTACAATAATAAATTTGTCATGAAAGATAAAAAAAACTGTTAACCTGTTTTTTATTATTTCTACAATGTGGGTAAATCAAATAAATTCACTTCAAAATATCAATATTTCTCTATTTCTCTCATTATTTTTGTGTATTGTTTTCTAGTTAGATTATATATGTATGTATATACATGATTTGCTTACATCATCATTATTTCAGTAATGATGAACATGATTATAGTTTCCATGAAAAAGATTAGAAAATGTTTTGAATGTTTAATCAATTACTAAGTGATCATTAAATGATATTAATCGTTGCGCACTGCTAAGGGGTTCCACAATAGGACGAAATGACCGTCCAATGCTTCTAAGCTTTCCATAGTGGTCTACCTTTAATTGACTCATGTTCTCAACTATTAGAAAATTACTATAATATTCACAAAACCCCTTCTGATATTAATCTTCATTCAGTTATTATAGCTTAAGTATTTTTCTTATGTACGGATGTTAAAAATTAGTAAACATTATGAATTTGGATAGACAATTAATATCATGTAGTTGTTGACTGGGCCTTAGATAAACAATCAAGTCCGGTGAAAGTTTTAAAAATTCATCACTTTTGTCAACCAGAAGTTGTTAAATGAATTGACATATAATGAAGTTAAGAAAACTATCAAAATTTGTAACAATCTACATCATGAAGTTATTATGGTTAGGAAACCATTAAAAATCAAGACAAACTGAACAGCTATGATGTAGAGTTACAAAATTGACATTTATAAATCTTAATCAAAATTAGAAAATTTACTATTAAATATTGCACAACTGAAGTGACTTCAGCTAAACAACTAAAAAATTTAAAAGTCAGCAGACCACTGAGTTACGATCTAGTGATTCGAATTACTGAGTGAGATCTCCGGTATAGTCATGGATGTGCATGAATATCTAGCCTTAAAATAGAACAAAAAGGCTTCCTGTCGCTGCTTGTTTTCAAGCGATTTTATAAATTAAATTGGTTGATATTGTAAACCGTCTTAGGACTAGACAATTTTAGTAAATATGTATGACAATATATTAATAAACCTAGTAAAACTACTTTGAAAAAGTGGGAAAATGATTAAAAGCAAACATGAACTAACTTGAAGCGATAAATTAACACGACAGGAAGATGTATCAGTTTTAAATCGAAAGGGTTAGGATCCTATGAGCACGTCAGGTTAAATGAGAATATTTTAGATGTACAATTTGGTCTTACTAATATATATCTCTTTTAATTTTTAACCTAATATATTCATATACATGTACTATTATGGCTATTTTTACTGTCATTTAGTATCTATCTTTATACGCCCTTTTAGACTATGTGTGGTGCCATAGGTGTGGAATCTTATCACCTGCTTCTACTTTTGGAATACATGAAGGGAAAATACTTTGTCAATACGGGATGCTTCCTTTCTCAGTGAAAAGCCAACCAAGACCTTTCTTGTGTTAAAACGCAGTGGATAACTTTGTTGTCATATCCGGAAGTAAATAATGACTTCTTTATTCATATCACTAGTAAGTTAACATCGGGGACTTTTGGATTCATAGAAATACGCTACTATGCTATGCCACTAAACGATTCCGTGGAGTGGACTCAAGCTAGCCAATGAAAAATCTTTGGCATATTTACAGCTGTAGATATTCTTAAATAAAAAGCAGAAATCAAATAACCGATGAGATTTTCCATTGAGTTTTGATGAGTAAATCAACTTAACATAACCAACCTCAATCAAGGTTTAAAGTTTCGTAGTTTATTTTTCTTACTAAACGTAGCATAACTATGAAGTAAATAGAAGTTCCAACAAATTATGCTTTTGAATCTACATAATTTCAACGCACTGAACAATATTGTCGGAGAAACGGCGAAAATCTTGATACATTAAAAGTAATAAGGTTACTTAAATGATTTGTCTGTCACCTCTCATGACTGTTCAACACTTTAGGTTTCCCAAACCACTAAAACTTACATTTTAAGGCTATTAATGGAATCTCCTCACACAGTGTTGTTTTTCTGATGAACACAACCGTTTGAGTCGTCTCTGAGTATCCAACTTACACAGTCGGTCCGACAGAGGTACTTCTGAAATTCTAAAAAAGAATACTAACTCAGAAGAAATTGCCATGCAATCTAAAAGCGAATCATGCACTCAATTTAGAGTGACTCGCGTTCTAGTTGCTCGTCCCCTTCCGAATGGATCACAGGCTAAGACAATATATCCTTAGCTTATGTAGTGTTTTTGACTTTAGTATAATCTTTCGGAAGCTTATTTATTCTACGACCTAACCAAAGCGCACTGGACTTGTGATTTATAAAAATTAGGAACAAGATAAGAAACTTTCTAGTGGGCAGTAAGCAAAATGGTTAAAGTTATCAAAGTACCACTTTAGTCGTGTAGGGCCAGTGAAATGTCACTGCCAAACCATCTGGCAGTTGGATCACTGAATGTCGAACAGATCGTCGCTCCCCGCCAAGGTCATGTACAACCAACGCGCATTAGTTAATCGTATGCCATGGACTGGTCCATGCGGCAGTGGTCTTACTTTCGCTTGTATTTACTTTAACTAATATATTTCTGTAACGACGTCCCCTGTGTTGTACAGTCTTCAAATCATCTATGGTACCTTGATACGTTAATGGGGTAGTCCACGTAAGGTGCTGACCATGAGGTGTGACTTCGACATTAGCTAGTTTGTCACACCATTCACGTCTAACTCGAGTAGGCCTCCAATCATTTTCGACATAGATCGTCTAGGTTGCTGATCTACAGTCGGACCACGTTAAAGATGAGGTTTAATTTTCGTCATAAGTGCGATTAAACGTAGTTGGTTTTGGGAATTTATCCGAAAGTACGGATCGTATTTTCGGAGTTAATGCAGAAGAGTGTAGAAATTTCGGAATCGACGTTAGGTTGAAGTAATTAATTAAATAGGATGAGCGCTAGTGTTTAGAAAATTTATTGGAGCATTGTGCGTCATACATACTACCATTTGGAAGCATTTTAACTACTACAAACGAAGCAACTGTGTTTTATCTTGTTAAACCAATAATATTCAGAGTATTACTGTTTTAAATTAGTTTAAAAACTCATTCATGTTAAAGAGACTTGGTAAGAAATTTACTCAACAAGATCAACCAGATATTTTTTCGATGGATAGCCTTTAAAACTGCGGGACGTGAAGCTAAATAAAGTAGAAAATTAAATTAAAGCAGACATAAGATACCATCATCCATTTCCTTGTTCCTTCAACATTCTTATTAATCTCATTCAACTTACCCACTTCAAACACATAATATGCACACGAACAAAAATGCTATCCTCAAAGAGTCCGTATTTGCTTGTTTTACGGTATTTTAAATCTCATATATACAAACGGTTCTCCACATTTAATCTCGCTAGAAGTCAAATAACCCATGTATCCGAATGATTATGATGAGTGTTCTGTATGAAATGTAATTTTAACGCACACTGAATATCTATGATAAAAACGACAAACATCTGGACAGGCAAGGAAATAGTTGTTAGCGATTTCACATACATGAATTCTTAAAAACAACTTTTTAGTTTCTATGACAGCTATTGGAAGGGGAGGATTAAAACAAAATTAAATACTGGACACTTCTGGAACGAGGAAATGTGGTTCCATAAAAAAACATCTCCCTTGATCACTAAATTACATAATAATCCTTAATTTCTAGTGTACCAAAGGTTAAGAGCTAGGTCCAAATTAAATGACACCTATAGTCTTCAGTAATAAATTTAGTAGGTTGGTTAACCTGTGTTAATCCTGGCAGATTGCATTCCAGTGAAGGTCCAGCTTCTCCTTGAAAATATTCACTGATAGCGCTGATACCACTTGTTCGGATAAGGCGTTCCAATCATTGACTACTCGATGAGAAAAACGGGACCCCACTTTAAGTTTATTGGATTGCGGTTTGTGAACCTTCTTGCTATGACCTCGGAGATTATTAGTGCTGGAGGGAGAAAAAAGATAAGACATATTAACACCTAAACCATAATTAAAGATACAAATTGCCAGTATAATGTCGCCTCGCGTCCTACAATACGAAGAGTGGAAAAGGTCTAAGTGTTTTAAACGCCCATCGTAAGGAAGTTTAGAAAGACCCTTCACTAATTTTGTTCCCATAGGCTGAACACGCTCAAGTGAAATAGTATCCTTTATCAGACATGGGCAAGCTACTTCGGTACAGTACTCTAATTTTGGTTTTACATAGGTGGAATATAAAATTCGAAACATTTCCTCGTCAAAAGATTTGAACACTCGGTGAAGTGACCATAACTCACGAAAATCTTTGACAGCAGCTGCGTTGCAATGCGTAGTTGTTTTTAAGTCATGAATTATTGTTACTCTTAAGTCTTTATGTTCTTGAACACATGGAAGAGTTGTAGAACTATGGTCTACTATGATACTAGTAATGCTCTAATAATAGACCTAATCCTATAATTGTAGATTTGTCATGATATAACTGCCTAATCTATAAGACCTCGCGTAGAAGCCACATCATCTTCTACACCAACTCACTACATCGTAACAATTACCAACACATGATTGAGAACAAACTTAGGCTAGAGATAGAACAATATATTTGATATAAAGTAACATTCAACAGGGACCACGCCTGCATAGCCGAGCCATGTCATACGATCAACTCCACCTAATTCAACTCCCTGTTCCCCCCTTCTCCGTTGTTAGGTATTTCTCCGCGTTAAATACTGAATATATATTTTCCGAGTGGTCTCGTGTTCAGCTTTGAGGATTGTGTGGTTACGGTCCAATTAAACAACAGAGGTTTACCATCAATAGTATAATGGTTACTATTACCGTGACCGATGTGCATGGGCACACTCTTCCTAGCATTGATTTCTAAGCCTCAACCTCGAGCCCGTCTAACTAAATCGTCTAAGTCAGCTTGAAGATCCAGATGATCAGCCTCACTTTTTATTGCTCCCCAGATTTTTACGTCATCCGCAAACAATAATGTCGTGGACCTGAGCAACAGCGGTAACTCGTTAGCGTAGAGAAGGAGGAGCAGAAAGCCTAAGATGGTGTCTTGGGGTACACCACTTTTGACCGGCTTCCAATCGGATAGCGTTCCGCTGACCCTCACTCTCTGTCTGCGGTCACATAAGAAGTATCCTATTCACTCCTGTACAGTACCTATTATTCCAAAGCTCGTGAGCTTCTTCATAAGATCTCAGTGTGAAACCCTGTCAACTGTTTTGCTGAAATCTATGAACATCGCATCGACAGACAGACCTTTTTCTAATACTGCTGTCTAATCCTCTCTCGCAATAAGCTGCACTAAATACGTGACTACATATAACCTCAATGAACAAGTGACAGTAGAAGTTCGCTGGGGATAATTTCACTCACTACGTTTATTCCTTTAGTATCACAATTTCGCTCCATCAAAACTAATGGCTGGGAAATGATACCTCTGAAGATGCCACAGGTATTCAGAGTTTGACAACGCTTTAACCAGCAACACTTTTTAATATGAAGCGTACCCACCAAGTGAAATCAAAAGACGGAAGCGAGGAAGCTTGAAGATATATTTGATATGATATCAATATATCGAGAATCGTCTGATTGTTGAACACGGCGTTCCCACTCGTGATCTGGTGCGGATGCATGACCGAGCGCCTTCAGCTAGGTGAGTCCATTAAAACATGTGGTCAGCATCCAATGTCGAAAACGTGCAGAGCTAGTTATTTTGGGGATTTATTTTCCGCCACACTGCTAAGCTTATTTTATATTCCATTCTTGATGCACTGTTGAATATACTTGATAAGCCCTAGAATGCATATGAAGTTAGTATGAGATATGTATCGGGCTGTGGCGATAAGTCTCCAAAATAAATAGTTCCATGTGCTTCTGACATTGATATTGACCTCATTAGTTTTAATGGACATATCTAACTGAAGACGCTCAGTCACGCATCCAGACCAGATCATAAAAGGTACATCATGCTTCTCATCTCTTGCAACTGTTAGCCAGCTTACATTAAGGGCTTCGCGATATATCGGTAACCTCTTGAATATGTCTCCAAAAATCTCCATTTCAGACCTCTGATTTGACTAGATTAGCATACTTGGATTATGGAGATGTTACGTACTAATGCGTTGTTAAACTCAGAATACCTGTAGAATCTTTAGGGTTTTGATGAATTATGAAGACATTTAACATACTAGACTTTTCTCATGAAGCAGATCAGATGTATCACAATATTGTTGCTAACACCAAAATAGATTTAAAATGAGTTGCGCGGCGATAACTGGCACTTAATACTTTGGTTTATCTCATTACATGAAGAATCGTTCTATGAAATTAGAGTATTTGTGTAGGCTACAGATTTAAATCTTCAGTGTTTCCGAAGCACTACCCCTATGTTGTTGAATAATCGGAATAATATCCTTGAGATATGATATAGGGCAACACTGAGATATGCTGGATCAGCTGATAAGGGTGGAAACCTCTGTCGACCAAGATGTTCGGGACTTGCTGCATATCCATAACCACTTTTATCTTGCTGACAATGTTCGATGAGAGTCGGTTGAGTTTAAGCCGAAAACTGACATTAGCTCACAAAATTGTTGACTATTGGACTGAGTTATGTTAACAGACGGAGTCAATCTGTTGAGTTTAGATCATCTTCATTTAACTCCAATGTGTGGTGTCCTGTTAACTAAACATTTTAACAGACCACCTTTACTAGCAGTTCTGTGAATTTACTTGAGTATACTCAAAAGCCAGAACACAGGTTGTTTGGCAGGTGTGCTAGTAATAATCAATAAAATTTACAAGCAAGAGAAAAAAGGCAATATGGAAAGTGAGTGTGTGTGTATAAGCAATAACTAGAAATATCTATGTGTATTTTATGAGGTTGATAGGTTCTGGGTCCGAATCTCGTGGGGTGCGGGATTGTCGATGCGCACTGCTAATGTGTCCCATGCTAGGGCAAAACGGCAGTCCAGTGATTCGAGGTTTTCCACGTTGGTCTAGCTTCAATTAACTCATGACTTCAACTACTGATATTTTATGTTTTTTGGTCAGTTGTGGATAAGTTATTGGTTGTCTTTTCTTACAACTCGTGGGAGGATAGATGACGATTGAGCTGCAAACATACGCTCAGTCAGGCTAATACATGCTTCTTCATAATAAGTTAATTGTTTAAATTACAGCAAGTAGGTGGTGAACAATTCAATGGGCCTAATATAAATCTGACTGGCGTCTTAGAGATGTCCTAGACCAGGCGTTCGATAGTATGTAGTTAAACACTGGATGTGTCCTTCTCTATCGACTTATAACAACTATCAAACTACCAATTACGTTTATCGTTGATTTTGGATAAGCTTTTTCGTTAGTATACTTAACAGACAATTTTATTCGAAAAGTAACAATTTACATAGTTCTTTGCAATAATGTGATCACTGTGTTATCTTTAAAAGAGTGTACGCTTGATCAGATGACAGCCTATTCACATATCTCTCTGGCTAAAATGCTAATATCTTAAATATCGCCCGATGAGACATTCACTTTTACATGTATATATCCACTCCAATCTTAATATTAGCCTTTACTTTGCCTTGTTTTGCCCTTATTCTATTTGACTATGAATTCGCCTCTGTGTTTGCTTACTTGCACACACATTCGCTTCTCTGATTCAAATTTTTTCGATGTGCTTAAAGCTTTGTGGTCTATGCTATCCGCCTCTTATTGCCTTCTGATTTCAAAACCCGTTGAAATTTATATAATAACCGCTACAAATGTGGTTGATTAACGAAGCAAAGATACTATAGAATAACAATGGGTTTCTTCAGTAAAAGAAAGAGAAACAGAAAACAGCCTCATAAAATATTTGCACGAGTTGCAGAGGCTTTGTAGCAGCCGTATTTTATTTACTCTCAAACATGAATCAGGATTCGCCACCATTTCATCATTTTACTCGATTAGATAGCAATACACTTTCTGTGATTAGATGGTGATTGGAGGTAGTCAACAGGAAACCCTGGACCCGGGTTTTGTGCTACTTGGCACGCGTCAGCAAGGTGTACCTGTAATCTTGAGGGAACTGGTGCTTCCTGGCGGATTCGATCTCGTGTCACCCAGCTTCACAGTCAGAGACGTTACCACTGAGCTATCCGAGCCGCGACTGACCTCCTGTAGGACTGAGATGTAATCACAATTGATTGATCACTGGGTGGTGATCAACAGCAGCAACATGATCGATAGCATCCGATCTGCACTAATAAGGACTAGACAAGCATGACACACCTCAACAAACGGTTAAATGGTGGAGGTTGGTTTGCTTTTTGATCACTGTTTCACACAGCAGATATCTTGTACCACGCAAATGACCAGCCTTAAAATGTTAGAGACCCAGAAATTTCCTGGACAAAATGCCAAAAGGAGTCACGTATCACACATCCGATTTAAAGATTACCTATT